ACAGCAGTCCCTGGCCACTCAGACTGAAGTGGAGAATGTGAGAAGAATGTTACTTCTTCAGTTCCCACTTCAGGTACATTTATGTACATGTGGCTTGAGTCACATGACAGGTGCCACGTCATCCTCAGAGACAGCTGCAGCCATCTGGGTGTCCCCATGGGGGATCCTGAGAGCGTCCACTGCATGCGCGCGTGCTGGGCACAGCAGGAAGCCATCTGGGGTGTCTGGGCCAGACGGGTCAATAGTACATTGATGCAAAGGAAAGTGGTCCATGTAGATAGAAGGAATAAACAGGAAGAGAATGGTGAGAAGAATGAAATAAAGAAAAGAGAAGAAAGAGGGAAGGAGGGAGGAGGGAGGAAGGAGAGGGATGGACAGCGGGGCAGCAGGTGAGGTGTGGCTGGGTGGGTCTGGGTGGACCTGGGTCAGGCGGGTGTGCCCTGACACCAACCTCTGCCAAGTTACAACCTCCCACCACCATCCCGTTCCTCATACTTGGACACTGCCTGTACCTTTGCTCTGAGATTCCGTCATGGTTCCAACCTCGGACTTTGACTCCACCTCAGCTTAAGTCCATTGCATTGGTGACCTCATTCTACATAAACACCATGGCCAATATTCCTTGGACTTTTGACCCTGCCTCCACAACCTCTGTAAGCTCTGCAACCTCCAAGCTCCACGGACCATCCTAGGCACTTTCACCGCTTGTAATGTATCTTCGCACTTTCCCCTCATCCCTATTTGGACTACTGCTTCCTTCCATTTTAGCCAGTTAGTCATCAACCCCACTTCACCTCATCCTCCTGCCCCTCTGGGCTTCGCCCTCCCTACCTCCTTTTGGATGTACCACAGAGTCTAACCCATGACCTTTGGTACCACTCCACTTCCATCATCCCTTTGTCTCTGTTCAGACACCTTTGTTCCGATTCAGACCTCCTTGTGCTTTCATCTCCCCACTATATACAGGCGCTTGTACATACTTGTTTTGGACCTTCAGTCTAAAATCGACCAGAAATGCCCCCTAGAGACTTCCTGCTCACTGCTTCTGAAATTAAGGACCAAATGGACAAACAGCAATGGCACAGCACTCCACATGAGTCACTGAGGCCAAGGTCCCTCCTTGCTAAGTCTCTGGTTCCACTCTGGAATTGTCCGCTCTCACCCGGTTCTAACATGCACTACCATTACTGTTTAGCACTTACCATCAACCATCAAATGTCAGGGCACACCCGCCTGACCCAGCTCCACCTGGCCCCACCTTACCCAGTACCCCACTGTCCACCCCTCCTCACCTCCTCCCTCTTTTCCTTTCCCTCTCCTCATCCCCACTTCCTCACTTTCTTCCTATTTTACTTCCTCTTTATTTTCTCTTTATTTCACATGGACGACCTTCCTTTGTACCAATGTACCCAACCTCAGGCAACTTCCCGCTGTGCCCAGCATGCGTGCTTGCACCAGATGCCCTTGGGATCTCCCACAGAGACACCCAGGTGGTTATGGCTGTGTGCAAGGGTGACGTGGCATCTGTCATGTGACCCAAGCCACATGTATATAAACATACCTGAAGTGGGAACTGAAGAAGTAGCCTTCTTCTTGTTGGAGAATGGATATCTGTTCCCATCAGTATAGAGTTTAACAGCCTATACCGGCATGGTCAAATGGGCGAGTTGTGTAATGGTAGCACACTGAGAGGTCCTGGTTTCAATGCCAGGCTTGTCCATGATTTTATGTCCTTGTCTTGTGACCTGAACTGTATCATTCAGTTGGATCTCATGGAGTAAGTCCCACAGGGCAATGTGAAATTTCTTCACTTCTCATCTTTCCACTTCAGTCTAAGTGGCCAGGGACCGTTGTCCCACATCAGGCCTGTCAGTATGCATGCCCGATCCACCCCCCACCAGACTCTCAGCACCGGACGCTACACCCGGGCCTCCTCAACCCTGGACGAGTCCCTGACATCAAACCACTGAATGGGGATGTTGACTTGAGTAGCTCTAAATTGCTGAAATTCCTTAGGCGACTCCCCCACCTTTGTTGCATGTTGCAAATCAGCCATCTCAGTGGCTGAGTATACTCAGAAAGGGAGCTTCCCTAGCTAATGGTGATGGCATGGGAGGAATGTCTGCTAGAAAGCCAGTTGTTCAAATTCCTGAGCACTGGGCTTGCTAATGTTAATGTTTCATGCAAAAGCCACCTGCCAAGCATGAGAAGCATTGGCCAAGGTTCCACATATAAGACGAAAAGATGGACTAGCGATGTTGACACTCAGTCTGCTATGCGTGAACTAGAAATATATTGGAAGTAATCACCTAGCAATGTTGACGCTGGTGTACGAATATTAGATACATGTTGTTAAACACATAAGGGAAGGAGAAAACTTAGACTCACCTCAGTCCGCTATGTGTGAACTGAGGAGAAGTCGTAAGGTCCAAAAAATTGGTGTTTTATAGTCAGGCAATATCAATGTGCACTGACTTTAGTAACAACTGATCCAGAAAAGGGAAACAAAGTAAATCTTAGCGCTGCAAGACTCAACATCAACAACGTGAGTTGGCCTCAGCATACACTTGTATCCCAAGAAATTTAACACTGCAACACCCATGGGCTTCTAAGAGGGAAGTTGGTTGTGGCAGCAAACAGCCCTGTGCCACATTGCCATGATGAGTCATTTTGGACTCGTGACCAAAATGTTTGCTTCCGTGACCAAGCCACCCAACCGCTGGTAGGTCCGGAACATTCCGGTATTTTTTCTTTTCCCTCATAGTCGGTCACTCTTCAATTCTCTACCTAGTCCGACTCTCTTCTCTAGATTCCATACCCAGCGGTTATTCTGTTACCAGCTTCCCTGGCAAAATGCCATGGATCATTGCTTGTTCACCAAAGGTCAGCATCAACATCCTTCAAGTTGAGAGCATGCACATCAGTCCTTATCCTCATCCCTGTTCTAGCACTCCAACATCTTCCCAAACCATATGGGTATGTCCTCATCTGGCTGTCTTGTCTTTCATTCCACTTACATCATTACAGACACCGTTCATGTATGCTGGTCCATATTTACAAATGAACCCAATGTTTTCTGCTCATGCAGAAATATCCTGCCCAAGAAGGGATGCAGATCTGACTGCATGATTGCTCTGAGGTCCAGTGACAAGGGTGACCTGGTTAGAATCCAGGATAATGTGCTGATTGATCCTGTTCAATGGGGTATGTTTCACTCTCCCCACGCATTCATTCATTTCTCTTTCTTGATCATTATGTTGTTACCATTTGGGTCGACACTTCCGGAAGGACTCACTCACTGTCCCATTGGTATGGAAATTGTATACAAAGTCCCAACTGAGTCGGTAAACAGCATTTTGTCATTGTCAGCTATGTTGCTACTGATAGTACAACATTTGCAAATCAGGTGTTTCGCCCAAAAGGCAAATGGTTGCCTGTCCCCTCCTTTCAGTTATATGTAAGGCTGTCAATTGTAGAGGTTTTGCCAATTGTGTGGCTCTGAAGGGAGAGGGATGATATATGGCACTTTTGCTTACAAACCCCCATTCTTTATTCTGCCATGGAGTCTGACATGTTTAACAATGTTCAAGAAAACAAAAGTAATGGCAGAGCTATCAGGACTCGGTGGGGACCTATTTGTAGTCTGAGGTCAAGTGAAAGCCCAATCATTTTGCATCAGTGCGTAAAGTATTCGTCGCGGAATGGCTTGTGAAACTCTGGTGTGAAGGGATTACGGTATTGGGGCAACATGATGTGAGCGTGTGAGTCTCAGATATGGGAGCCATTGGCTATCCAGAACATTCCGGTCCTGACAAACAAAACCACAGTGAGATCAGAACCAAGAGAGAGCTGGGAGAAAATATTCATTAGTTTGAGAACCCATTGGTGGGAGTAGGGTTTGGTGGAAGGAGGTTTTTGCATGAGTTTGGACAGTGTCAGGGCCCGGCCTCGGACTCGGAGGCTTCCTGGGGGCATGAGATGTATAGTAAAGGAAATAGAATATGTACACTTGCCTATGCGGGGCATGAGATGAGAAGAAGGGTAAAGGTCTCATCTCCCTGCATGGTTGCTATATAAAGGAATGGGTCACATGCCCACAACTATACAGCTCCTAGAGTTGTGTAGTGTGACCGGGAGGGAGCATCCAGGTGGCAGTGCCCAGTAAGCGTGGGAACGTTCTGGGTGAGTTGCTCACCCAGAACTGTGGCTGTGACCCGTGGGAACATTCTGGGCAAGCTGCTCGCTCAGAAAGTTCCCACGCTATCCCATGCACGCGGATATGCAACACAGAAAGGCAACAACAAGGCAACAATGAAGGAATGGAAGGAAGGGATTGGTTGGGGAGTCTGGGGCACCCTAGGGCAGGGTGCTGAACCCTGACAGACAGTCCAGAATGCGTTAGAAATTTTGTGGCAGGCACTACTAAGACACAACTTCGAGCAGGTCCAACAAGTCAGCCTCATCCTCTTGTAAGGGCGTTGTTAATAGTGGAATTAACATTCCGAGTGTTTCGCTGCTTGCCTGTTGCACACAAGCTTGGCCCAATTCAGGTTTCAAAAAAAGGTGTCCCAAATCCACTCAAATCTCCACCCCGGCCTATTGCCATGCCCCTGGGCAACAACCATGAATCGCAGCTCAAGACAGACACTCAGTAATCAACATAAACCACCCAATCGGAGCAGCTCTAGCTCCAATCAACCCACCCATCGCTGGTTAGCCTCAATCCATCAGTTTTTCCCTCAGACTGGGACGTGTGGCCACGATGGGATCCTGTCCGCAAAATCAAAGAACTTGCAGAAGGCCAAGCCCTAGCTTCAACAATTTCTTCCCCTCACCGTGTGCATCAATGATATTTCCTGGGAGGACGACGGTTGCATTTAATGATGACATATTTCGCTGGGACATGAAAAGTGATGGTCTTGGCCACATCTGATGTATATACATAGTATTTTATGCATGGGCCCATTGACAGCGTACCAATGCGGAACTGTGTGTAACTCATGTCCCGACTCAATGCAGGGGAGCAGTGGTGGGAGGTGGGGTAGGATCATCAAGTGTGAAGGGCGAACCTCTGCATCAGCATGTCAGCTGAGAATGGAACACGATGTCACAACGGCATATCATGAGGGCAATGTGACAAGGTGGGAGGAACCAATGAAGGATGCCTGCATAGAATGCATCAGGATGGAGGAGAGAGATGAGCACTGGGGCCGTTGGAAGGATGTGTTGCGGACGGAGGTGGTCACAGCAGAGCGGAGGGAAGATGCAGAAGGACAAATGCGACCATTGCGTCGGCACTGCCAGTGGCGCTGGACGGGATGGGGCAAGAGTGCGTGTGGAGGTAGTCATGGCATGGTCATAGCAACGTGTGGATGACATCAGGATCAACAACGGATGAGGCAGCAGAGCGGTGGGAGTGTTGTCGCATGCCAATAAGATGGACACTGAACGCGTCGGTTCATGAGCGGGGTCTCAACATCTGAGCCCCAGGCTCATAACAACCTATGGGACTTGCAAGATCTGCAGTATTGTCGTCTATTAGTTAGATTGTATGGTGGAACAGCTCCTGAAAAAAAAGGGTTTACATAAATGGTTCCATACGTGCATTACTCACTCTATCACATGTTCGATTACAATAGAACATGGAACAGGACCATGGCAATTCAGTCTAAGCCCACAAGACCTGCTACTCTGTAGCAGGAATTATATACACAACAAAAGAAAAATAAAATGGGGGGATGGGGGCTCCGGGTTGATAGTTTTGGATGGGAGGCGGTGCTGAAGGATGAGGGAAAGGTGAAGGGGGTGGCGGACTTCTCAGCATTCGTGTTTGCAGAGCAGATTGTGGAATAAACGAAAGGAAGCGGTTGAATGGGGGAAGGAGGAAGGAAGTCCCCCTCGTCGTTGAGCTGTAGACGCACCTGCAAGGGGATCCTTTAGATGGTCGTGGAGAGTGCCCAATCGGACTCCAATCAGGGATGACTCGTAGGGAACACGTATAGTATGCATCGGGGGCCATAGCGCACTTTCGACAGGTAACGAACACAAATTGTCAAACGATCGGAAAAGGGACTCACCTCTAGTGTTTCCCAGCCATGTGTTTCACGCCTCACCCATGCAAGTCCAAAGCCCGTCATGTGCATGTCGAAAACCAAGTGCTGGGAGCCTGTTTGGGATGCCCAGGTTGCGCTGGAACATCAGTGTTACGGGTTGAACTGGTGTGGGGGCCATTCACGCCACCCCTTACTGGGTCTGTCCTGTTTCCTGGCTTTCAAACGAAGACCGGGGCGCAAATGCTCCCAGCGATGAATGCGGTAGGCATGTGAGGCAGTGAGGGGTTTTTGTTTGCATCGTCAGACTAACGAAAGAGCCCCAGAATCAGATTGCGATGTGTGAACGACCGGTTACATAAGTCAATTCTACCATTCAAATGTTATGTAAAATGTAGGAGATATTGTGACTTACGTCATTTTGCTGATGGTATGCTGAGCGATGACATCTGCCGATTTTTTCGTTAATGTGTCGAGATGAGCATCCTTTACTGTGGATCCAGCTCACATCTCCACCATTTGGGATGAAACCTCATGGTGTTGGATTCACTTGCCCAAGCACCTTCGAACGTCAGTCCTCAATTGGGCTCTGGAACAGCCAATGAACCGTGAGAGTTTCAAATCGCGCCCATATTGGTTTCCTGATATATGGCAAACGTCTTTGTCAAACCCGATAAGACATGGTTACAAACAAAAGGCTAGTTAGCTGTAAACAGAGGAACGGTCTTTGGCCTCAATATTGGGCCTCAAGAGCATGTCTGACTGCAGGAAGTCCTACTTCACAGTGAGATCGAAAGAAGTAAATGACGTTGTTACATATATATATTTCAACCAATAATTACGTACAGTGATGGTAGTAATTGAGGGCAGAGTACTACTTGTCATTTGGAATGAGTAGTGGGAATAAACTCTCATCCATGCAAAAATATTTTTTTGTCTCCGAACAGAGGATAATTTCCATGAGAGAAGGTTGTCGGGCTCGTGTAGCGCAAGTGCTGGGTGCAGGACGGTGGGATGAACCGCGAGAGTGCAAATTGGCGGGCCGATATTGGATCATTTTAGAGCTGACTGAATCATGGACAGTCAGTGAATCAGACCGAGCGTCTGTGTTGTAAACGCGCCGTTCCAAATATGGCAACCCGCTTCGGCAGTTTCACTCGCAACCCAGATGTAATATAGAAAGAAATATAACTCAAATACACACGGCGCTCCAGCGCCCATATTTATACTTCTCAACAATATTCCAGGCTCTTCTATGCCCAGCGCTTACGCAGGCGCCTAGTAACCCCTAGAATATTCCCGGATATTCCGGTTCAGTTTCATCATGTGACTGTGACTCGTATTCCAACAGTCTGGCATTCGACCATGACGGGCGGTCAGACGCTGGTCTGCCCAACCCTGCATGACCAAACTGTGGGTGGCCACTCAACCACCCCCGCCAACCTCGAAGAGCCCTTGAGCGTGGGAATGTTCCTCAGTGCAGCCTCCCGGCAATATCCACACGGTGCGGTGTCGATGAATCAGTCAGCTCTAAAGAGATCCAATTTGGACGTCGGACCGCCAATGGGTGAGCCCTCCTCTAAACGTGTACCCAAGACGACTCTTGCGGTTCTTCCCGATGACCTGGACGAAGCCACCCACCAGAGTCTGAACGATCGTGTCCTGCGCAACATGCAGGTCTACAAAAATCTTGGCATGCTTTCCCAACAAGGTGGCACTCGTCTTGCTCTTCTCCAAAGCATTGTGCAGCAGTCAGATGGACTACTCGTCTCGAAAGATGTACATGAGCTGAGTGCTCTAATAACAAACCACCCGGAGCTGGGGGCTAAGTTGGACGAAGCGTGGAACAAAGAATCATTCAATGACATACGAAACCTGAGTATGCGCCGGAGGTTTTTGCCGTTGGATGGTTTTGATCAGCTGTCGTTGCAGAAATTCTTCGTCCAGCTGTTCAGCATGCGGGTTTTGCGGATCTTGAAGTGATACTTGACTCTCAGTTATCCAAAGATGGTGGGTAGAGTGTCGCCTGCTGGTGTTATTCCTTTATGAACCCATTCCAGCGGCGGTCAAGTCATGGTCTTCCACATACAAAGGAAACACTGCCGACATTCTTTCCCTGTACATGACGGGACCATGTGGCCCTAATGTGTATGCTCGCCTCTTACCAGTCGTGCAGTCGTCTGGGATGGGGAAATCACGAATGGTCGACGAGTTCTCCAAGTACCACTTTGTAGTCCCTTTCAATCTCCGTAAGGGAGTTGAAGGTGATACCCTCTCACGGTCGCTTCATTGTGATTCTGATGTTTCGATTTAGGATATCCAGCCCCTGACCATGCTATCCTCCATTGGCTCACATACCCTGGCCTCTCACAACTTGCGAGCGATGATCGCTTCAGCGCATTTCTCACTGCGTTGTTCGAGAAACTATCCGACGTCCTTGATGACCTAAAATCAAGGATCAAGTCCTCTAAGCTCTCAGATGCCGAGAAGACGGCCACATTAAAGAACTATCCTGAATCCCTTGCCGAGCAGTTTCGGCTTTTTATGACAGTTGGACAGCAGTTTGATGAGCAAGGTCCTCTGCGTGTGCAATTTTACAAGGACGTATTGAACAGAGCGAATAAGGCAAGTCGTCTGTTCTATGTCGCCGCTATGACCCTCACAGTCGAGGCAGCTATCTTCAGTAAGGCCGATGACTCCTCCAGAAATGAAAACACCGCCCGGGAAGTTCACGACAAAAACAAACGGTACTCCCCATTGCTTCCCTAAACGCGGTCTTGACTGATATAATGTCTTTCTCATACACAAGGTACGGTTGAACTTACTTCTGTCGTCAAAAGAGTATTAGAAAAGATCGCTCCTGATTACCAGAGTGCACAGCATACTCCCGTGTTGTGTTTGGCGTTTGATGAAGCCCACACTTTGACAACTCCAAATCCTGGTGGAGACCCGATTCCATTCACGTCGTTGAGACGCGCTTTGCGGGCTTTAAGGACATTTCCTATCTGGAGTCTCTTCTTGTCCACAACAGGAAAATCTGACCAGTTCTCCCCACCATCTCACCTTGATCCATCGAGCCGCATTCTCAAAGGTGAACTTGTCAGTATCAAACCGTTCAGCGCACTGGGTTTTGATCACATGGCGAAGGAGTTTGATGGGGTCATGACTCTGGATAATGTCACTGAGTTATCATATAGGTTATCACTAGGTCGTCCCTTGTGCGTTCTCCCAAATTTTTCTTCGCTATAATGGCTTCATGTCATCGCAGATGGCTAACACGCTACCAAGCGGGCGGAGACCGCGTCAAAGAGACAATCACCACATTTGCTATTGAGAAACTTCTCTGTCGTGCATGGAAAAGGGACAACTTGGCCCGCGCGGAAATGTTTGCCGTGATGTCTCATCGTCTTGTGCTGGACTTCAATACGACCGTTTACTCTGGTCAGCAACGAGCGGAGGCGGAAAGGGACCAGATGCACCAAGTCGAGAGGCACATGCGTGTATGCTTGGGTGTCAAGGAAGGGTTCGAGTCTGTCGTCACGGTTGCAGCATCCGAACCGATCCTCACCGAGGCCGCGGCCACCATCTTGTGCTCCATCCGGGATACGGTCCGGTCCTGTCATATGTTAGAAGACATCTTGCAGTGGCCTGGAATAAGTAAGGGAGATCGGGGAGAACTCATTACCTGCAACATTATTATCGACACCCTAGATGACCTTATGTCTAGGGAAGGGGAATGGAAGCCAGGGGGGGTCATGGTGACCTCGTTGTTTCAGGCTCTCTTTGCCCGCGACATCTATGACACGTCGATCAAGGATTCTTTGCCTTCAATGCTGCTGAACGGCAGCCGCAACAGATCATTTGCCGAGACATTCAAGAGCTCACGCATCTACGTCACGCATTTCATCAAGGTTTATGATTTCGAGGTACTCTCTGTCAACTATCTCTTTAAGCTTGCTGCCCGGGGTGTCGGAGTTGTCTGTCTGGATAATCAACGTGGCGTTGATGTGGTCATTCCAATTCTTTACAAAGACACAGTATTGCAAGCGGACAATATGACTGTCCTCATGATACAGTCGAAGAATGATCATTCTTACTCAACCAAACCGTCGCAAGACTTGTTTGACAAAATGGATCCGTCCAAGCTCGGAATTTTCCCCAGGAAACAGAAAACACTCCCAGTGATTCGGATGGTGATTGCACTGGCATCGAAGAAATCCATTGTTTCTGTTATAGGGCCACCTCCACGGACGCAGCCAGCAAGGCAAGGCAAACAGCTGCCTATATACCGGAAGAATGCCTACACATCATTTGATGTTTGGTGTGCCAGGGCTTCTTCCAGGACTTTTCGCACCATTAGGCCTCAGGATGTTGCGACATATGATGCCTTGCTGAGGTTGTCAAAGGATGTCCCTGAAATGTTTGAGCCCAGTGAAACATTGATACAGGATTCTGTAAGGAGGATGTACCCTGGTGGAACTTCTCATGCTGGTCATTGGTCATTTTGTACGAAATGAAAGGCAGCTGTGTTCAATGTAAACACTGTACTCCGGATCCAGATTTGAAGACTGATGACACTAAGGTAGACAAAATTCAAATCCGCCTACTACTTGTGACCCAGTCAATGTAAATTGGTATCATGGGGTTACCAGCCAACCTACATTCTTAGATACTATTTCGGTGTTTGAGTGCATGCACCTGTGCACCCATGCATTGAGAAAATGGTTTTATGGTGGGGTCCAAAGGGGCCCGGGGGTCAGTCATTCGCGGCTGGCTCTCACACTCACGTGAAGCCAAAGCCAGTTGGCCTCGGTATAGCCACCAAGCCACCCATTGCAGGCAGTGCATGAGCAACACTTGATCTCGGAGCTGTTGTAAGACAGCAACGGTTGGTTCGATGTTTAGCGCAAGGATACCCGACCTACATTATCTCGGTGAGATGCCCGATGATTGATGTTAGGTTTATTTCTAGTCGGTCTCTACTGTCTGATCATTCCATGTTTATTTAGCATTTATCTTCCTTTTTCCGACCTGTTGGTCGCCTCACTTTCCTTTATTTGTAATAATCCTCACTCCTGTTACACTCGATTAATCGACGCTTAAAAGCTTGATGTTTTCTTCGCTGACACCCTCAGTTCTCATTGCGTTCACAACCGCGAGACTGAGGTCGGTATATCTTTTATCATATTCACTCGTTTACTTGTTCTAAAACCTTCACCTAGTATTGTTCTATTCTAGGTAGATATCCAATTATAGTTCTCATTGCGTTCACAACCGCGAGACTGAGTATTGTTCTATTCTAGTCTGCGTTAGGAGCTGGACTAGAAGCGTGAAGCTCAGTGTCAGCTAATATGCGTGAAGAACTAAATTGTATTACCTAGAAGTGTGAAGCTAGGTAATATACATATTGTAAGTTACAATAATAAAGGAAATAGTAATAAAGGAATGTAACTAACCTCAGTCTCAGCTAATATGCGTGAAGAACTGAGGGAAAAGGAAATGAATTCAAATGAATGAATATATCCGTGGCCTGGCACGGGTTAGTCCGAAATAATATAAAAGAGGTGTTGTGACTAAGTAGTCATGCTAGCGTGGGAATGTGGCTGTCTGGGCGAGTTCCTCACTCGGATGTGGGAATGTGGCTGTACGAAAACTCGTCCGGCCTCCCATAGCACATGGTTCCTCCAACAGTGCCAACCTCCATCATCTCTATCGTTACAGGAAGCTACAATAGACGAATGGGCAGAGATGCTTCATTTGTGCAACATTGGCATTGAGCAAGAGCAAACTTGCATCTGGCTCTCAGTCTTCAAGAGCTCTCCTCACTGTGGATAACCTGAAGCATAGCAAGTTTGTTATGGTTTGATGTAACACCAATGGAATTAGTTCAGGTCTGAGCACATCTTACCTGAATCAGTCAGAAGTCTCGCCCATTGTTGCATTCTGTCATATCCATCCATGGCCATCACCCTCCACTACCTCTGGTCCTTCTGGATTACCTCTGCTCCTTTGTCACTAACCTTGGAGCCTCCGGATTCCACAATTACCTCCAACTCTGTCAGGGCAATAGCCCCAAACCCCAAGCCATATGTAATTAAAGATACATATAGTCACGTGGGTAAGCGGTAACCTCCGGTTAACTGCTTACACACCACTGTAAAATACACACCATTGTATCACTTACAGCTCTGTGTGCTGAGCTACCCACTGAGACCTCACACTTTTTTAAGTGTATGAGGTGTGTTTTACAACACAACCACTAGAACTTATCAATCTTAACATCTTGACTTGGTAGCGCCAATGGCACCTAAACACACCTGCAAGGGCAAGGTCACATCTGCAGTGACGATAAAAAGAAATGAGCGGTTCATCAAGAAACCACAATCTCCCATCATGGGAGATTCAAATCAAGAGCCGTCATCAGACGATGATGAGGATCAACACAATCCAAAAACAGCAACCACCTCAGGGCTGGCCCCTGAAGGTTTTATAAACTTATGTGGAGTAAGTGTGGGGCCCAATACTGTCAGGGACGTGTCCAGGGTCGAGGGGGCCCAGGGGTAATGCCCAGCACTGAGGCCGTTGCGGGGTGTGGAGCGGGCATGCATACTGGCAGGCCCGGTCCGGGACGATGGTCCCTGGCCACTCAGACTGAAGTGGGAACTGTGAGAAGAAGGTTACTTCTTCGGTTCCCACCCCAGGTACCTTTATGTACATGTGGCTTGGGTCACATGAGGTTTGCCATGTCACCCCGCATACAGCTGCAGTCATCTGGGTGTCCCTGTGGGGGATCCCGAGGGCATGTGCTGCACGTGCGCATGCTGGGTTGCACCGTGAGGCCGTCCGGGTCGTCCAGGGCTGGGTGTGTCATGTGCACGTCGCAGGTGGGTCAATAATACATAGGTATGGGGAAAGGTCGTCCGTGTAGATAAAGATAGAACAAAGAACAAAGGAACAAAAGAACAAAATGACAGAAAGAAGAACAAGAGTTGAGGAACCGTGATGAAGGGTGGGGAGTAGAGGTGAGCGGGATACCGGGTGAGGGCAGGTGGAGCCAGGTCGGGTGGGTGTGCCCTGACAAATACCCCTAGAACTCCACGTCATACTGATCTAACCCAAGCTGGGGAAGATCCCTCACCTCCTCAGGAGGTGATCGACTTGTGCAATAAATGCATAAGCACTGAACGATCAGCCCGAAAAGCTGATTGGATAGAGTTGCAGGAAACTCCAGGGCCCCACTATCCCCTGGAGTCCTCCCCCATGTCCCCAAGTCAAGCCCCAAAGGCAGATAAAGGGAAACAGAGGGAAGAGCCTCTGCATTGGCTATCCAAAAAACTACTGGACTTGTTCCAGGTTCCGTCTGAATGGAGGATGGAAAACGAAGACCAACTTCTTCTCAGGCTGGAAGCCCGAGAAGGTGCAAAAAAACACCCTGAGAGCAGGATCTCCCAGAGCATGGAAGCTCCAAAAGAACTTCCACTGTTTACACTACCCCATGCCATGCCAGACAAGGCAAGGTTGCCAACCTCAGAGGAGGTCTCCAAGATAATGAAGAGGAGGCAAACCAAAATGAGGGAGTTCACTGAGGAAGCCTTACGGAAAAGTAAGAAAAAACCAGCAAACAGACCCCTCTATGAAAGGGAAGCACCCTCCGCAACGGCCTCACCTAAACAAAGCGAGCATGGAGTTTTCACTCCAAGAACCCCTTCTGGAACCCCCAGAAGTGGCAATGTCAACTGGGGAGAGTCACTGCTCGCCCAACCAAACTTCCTCCTGGAAAACCAGGAATCATGCATAATAAACGCAATAAACTCAATCAAAAAAGATTGAGGAAACGAGCCACAATAGCACGGCTCGTCTAGAGATAACTCTAGAAAGAATGGCCAACACAGTCGATGCGTTGACTGACAAAATCAGCGAGCAGATGGACTTGCTGAAGGAGATAAACTTCTCACAAAATAGTGAGGAAACAAAAAAATACCCTGGGCCACAGGCCAGGACAAAACCAGAACTTGTGAAAAATTCACGAAAAGAACCACCAGTGAAAGTACACTGGAGTATCATCAGCAACTTGACAGAGACGCTAAGGAGATCCTTCTCCCAAGGATAGGGGAAGACGATGCCGAAAGAAGGCACCATTCAGAAATTAGGAGAATCGCCACGTACCAAAGGTTCAGCCAAACATCCACCTTCGACGAACCTCTCGAACAGAGAGGTAACACAACCACACTCTCTCAAAACAATGAGAGAATCCAAATACAACTTCAGGCAAATTTGCCCAAAACCAAAGAAATGCTGCAAGGAAGATTCCCCCCAGTGAAAACCCCCCCAAAGGAGAGATCTCCATTGGATAGCGACCCTGCGAAGGCAGGGGAGCAAGAGGAGTACCTGGAGAAATGGTACGAAAAAGCCATAAGAATGGCTGAAGTGAGAATACTCACCCCCTACCCAGAGGGAGTGAAGCCTGAAGCTCTAAAAAATGGGCCGGCTTTTCCTGACAAGAAATGGTCAGGGGAGAACGACATGGAATCGTTCTGGCAGTGGTTCACAGAACTACTGGGATTCCTCGCCTCATGAGGATGCAAAGGTCCCCAATTCAACGAAGTCCATCTGGACTGCTTGATTTGCGGATTAGGGGGACCTGTCATATCCATCCCCGGCCATCGACTTCCGGTTCCTCTGATCCCTCTGGTCTAACTCCGCTCCCCCTCACTAACCTCGGAGCTCCCATATTCCGCAATCCTCTCAGTACCCCTTGATGGTCACCACCCCCTCATTTCAATTTATTACCTATGCCTCCCTAAGTACGGAGCCCCGAAGACTTCCGGACAGCTCCGACATCCACTAGCGCACTCCCGCCTCCGCTGGGCAATACACTCGCCTGCCCTGCAGAGCCCACCTTCAGGCCTATCCCTCCTCTCCGTTTCTGGGTTATCACCTGCCTTTCCGCTAACCCCGCGACCTGACTCGTCGGTAATATTCAGTCGGCTAATGTTTAAACCCCATTAGCTCCACTCTGTTTGGCTCCGCCAATTGCGGACCCGTCTTCGCTGTAACCATATATATATCCCACTTGTACATAGGTTACACCCCAGTAATAAAATCAACTAGAGTTACCCCCCTTCGGTTCTGATTGCCAGTCAGTAAGTTAGGGCACGGACGTGTCACTAGGCACAGCACTCTTGGCAGAAGTCGCTGAGGCCAAAGCCCTCCATCACGGAGACTCTCCCTCGTCTCGAATCTGGTCTCTGACAGGACCTGTTACAGGAATGGGTTCCGGGGAACCCAACCTGAACCGTTTGGCTCACTAATGGAGGTGGCTGCATAGCCATCGGAGGGAGAGCGGAATGGGATGAGTGTCTGGCAGTGTAACCTGTGGGTTGGCCAACGGTAACTTGGCGCTCCTGGGAGCGTACCGGTAGCGAGTATGAAATGGGCTCCTTGAGGGAGCCACCTGGCTGTCTGCTAACGGGGACTTGGCGCTCCTGGGAGCGTGCCGGTAGCAGGTGTGCTGGGAGTGGTTGGCTAGCGGTGACTTGGCGCTCAATGGAGTGTACCGGTAGCGTGGGATACTGGGACTCCCAAAGGGAGTCGCCCAGTTGGTGGCTATTGGT